CAGATCTTAAAGAAAGGATATCACTTTCAGAAAAGTTTCCACTGATCAAAATAATGAGAGAAAAAAAACGAACAGAGGAAACCACAAATAAAGGAAATAAAGATCCATGAAAAAGCACGTCAAAAGCCTTACCAGCAAAATGGATAATGCGGATTTTGCTCATTATAACCCTCCTAGACTGGTGATGGTGTGTTATATAGGCTGGCTGTATGGTGTGGTCTTGATGCCAATGGAATTCCTAGCCAGCTGTTTGATTGACTTGTTCTCCCTGAGTAGAGACTTGCACTGGAAGAAATCTTTCAAGATGATAAATGCAGGCACTGTTTCAACTTTTGGAGAGATTATTTGTTTATAATGCCTTATTGAACAACTTCTTTGAAAGGCCAGAAGAACTGTTCCCCTTTACTCAGAGTAGGAGTAGCGCCCATGTCAAGTTCTTTCTTGGCATCAGGAAAATGGAAGAGACAAGAGGAGTAAATAGGTATGGAGCAAGTGAATTGAATTCTGGGTCAGGAAGTGTACATTTAATACTTAAGGAAACTCTTCAGGTACTAGCTATGAACATGTCCCAAGAAAAGGTCCTGCCTTGGTTGAAAAGACCATGTCACTGTTAATGGAATTCTTTGTTGCTACTATACATGGTCACATTTTTTATTTCAGTGTATCAGGAAGCCTGCCCTTCAGGAGCTTTTGATAGTTACAGACAGACAGTCCATCTGCAGAGAAGGGGCTGAACTAAGCCCATGACCACAGCTGAGACAGTATCAGGCCTCTAACTCCCAACCTTTGACTCCGTCTAACACTTCTCCATCTCCTAGAACTTGTACCATTGCCAAGAAGAGCAATTCAGGGACACTGTGGGACCACACAGTCACATCCAGCACTCTTCTTGGGCTGGAACTCTGACTTTTGCATGACGTAAAGTTAATGGCACCTTTCTTTTCCCAACTTTTGAGTGTTTCTTACTGCAAAGCTCAATACTTTTATAACTCGTTTTTCTGAGTTCGTCTTTAGCTACCTTTTCGTATTCCATATGTACTATGATCAGAAAACATCAGGTAATGGAGCTGCAGCAAACATCTTTAACTTTGTACATTCAGCTTTCAGAGAGAAAGTACAATTTCAGTAGTAGCAATTTCATTTGCTGTTCCACTCAGGATGAGATGGCAGATGCATTGTTCCTCCAGTCAGTCTCATTTCCCACAAGCCTTTCTCACAGGAAGAGCATCCCACTGTACTATGTGGTATTCTCATGCTTAAAGACACACACTTTATACAACAAGCCAGCTGCTTCATTTGGTACACGGTTGAAGAAACAGTGATTCATTCTGATGCTGGCAGGAAAAGAATGTGTATGTTCACATTTGTTAAGAGAGAGTTTGTCAATTTCAAATGAGACTTCTCTTCTTACAGGAGTTTAAGAGTAATTTTGACTATGAGATTTCTGCCTTGCAGGTTGCCAGTTAATTACCTTTTGACCTTAATAGCAAGTTGCTGTTAACTTCCAGGTTCTGAATATCTTGTGGTCATTTGTCCACAGTTTAGCACCAATATTCCATTCTGAGTTAGAGTCAGTGAGTCATCCAATTTAATATTTCTGTATGGAGATGGGCTTATAGTGAATGCAAAGATTGTCAATATTCCTAAGTAAAAATAACAACACTAATAATAGCTCATTTTTTTAGCTCTTAATATAATACCAGACACTGTGCTAGGATGTGCTTTACATCCACCATCTTATTTAATCCTCAACAACCCTATGAAGTAGGGTCCGATATCCTGATGTTAAAGCCCAGTAACTGCCTTAGAGACAACCAAGGGAACACATCCATACCCTCTTATGTAAATATTTCCTAAAACACAGGTGCTCCCAAGAAAGCAGCAATCATTGCAGAAGCAGAACACCAGGTGCAAATTAACATACAGGCTCTAGGCAAGCTGTGTTTCCAAAGTTCTCATTTAGGAATGGCTTGTTGAGAAGTTGGAACATATTTTCCCAAGGAAATGATGTTATCACAACAAAAACATATTTAGCCATGATGTGCCTAAAGTAGTAATAACATAGACCCAAACCATTTTGTGTACCAACATTTCCATGGAAAAATGCGCTCTGAGTTTCCCCTTGGATGCTAGGTACACATTTCTCCACCACTGGGAAGTGGCGACCATATGCCAGAAGCTGTAGGATCATGAGAAATGTTCAAAGTCTGAATCGATGGTGGCTCCCAAAGCGTGTGCTGGGAGTTAATGGAGGAAAGGTTGGAAGAGTGAGTGGAACTGGATACAAAGGGGACATAGGGTCAGATGACCTTGGGTGAGGAGCAGGAGAAAGTCTGTGAAGGTGAAAGATGGAATAAGAATCCCAGAGAGCGGAGGAGAGAGTTTGGGGACCCAGAACTCAGCAAGTCTAAACCCCCAGGGATACTTCTCATCCCTCAGGTATCTCCCTGCTCACTGCCTCTGTTTCTTCTACTGACTCCCAAATTTAGCGTACGTGCTTCCCTTTTTACTGTTAACACTCAAGGCTTCCTCTGTGATAGTAAGGCCAGCCCCATGGCTTTTGACTTGACTGCTCCTAACGCAGGCAAATGGCCCTAAGGGTTTTTAACTTCTCTAAAGGAAAGAGCCCATCCTAGGCCCTCCAGAACTTTTCCTTTATCACTTGGACCTGGAAGGGCAAATATCAGCCTACAGATACTTTGGGTGTTTTTTTGGGTCCATAACGGGCTAAAATAAAATGCATAGGCTTAGGCATTCCAGATGCAGCTCTCCGAGGCTGAAGCTTGTGGGAAAAGGGAGAAGCCCTCGCTCCTTTCTCTCTTTGTTTCTAGGGCTCCACGTCCTCAAAATGAAAGTGGAAAGGAGGAGGAGGGCCCAGGTCGCAGCTTGCTGGAGGGAGGGCTTTAGACAGTGTGATCCTTGCATCACTGCTGGGGTGTGTTCTCAAGGGGTACGTCTCTATCAGGTGTGTAGGGACCACCTGGGCACCTAAGCCTCTACCAGTCTCTCCAAGTGCTCCTCAGACCACCTTCCTCTTTACCCTCTGGTTGTGTTTCCCTGACGTCTCTGGTGCTACTGTTCACCTGGGCACCTGGGGCACTATAAAAAGCCCAAGTTCTCAGACACTATCCCAGACCCACTCAATCAGCATCTCCAAGGCACGGGCCTGGAAAGCTGTATGATTAACAAGCACCCCAGGTGGTTCCTGTCAGGGACTGTTGGCAAACGCTGCTTGACTGCCCTCCACTTTGCTGGTCTTTAAAGGCCCCTAGGACATTCTGAGCGCCTTTCTGCCTCAGAATCATTATATACGCTGTTTCTTCTCCATGAAGAGCTCTTTCCTATTCACTACTCTTGGCTAAGGCCTACTTCTCGTAACTTCATGACTCAGCTGCAGTGTGATTTCCTCAGAAAGACCATCCTTGACCACTCTGCTCACTGTCTAAATCAGGCTCCTGGTTTCATTCTCGAACAAGACCTCATGCTTTTTCTCCTTAGCATTTATCACAGTTTGTATCTTACATATTTGCCTAATGTTTGCCTCCTCACTAGGACCGAGCACAGGGAATGCTTAATAAGTATTTTTTGCATAAATGAATAAATGGAAAAATAGTGTTGGGAGAAGGGTACCAAAGGTTGGATTGAATGCTGCTCAACAAATAAAGAACTGAGCATATGAAAACTTCAATCTCACAGGTAAAATTTTTACAGGTCAACTAAAATCAAGGTAGATGGGCCCCACAAGTAAGTGTATTTACGGACAATGGGTGAGATTATTTCAAAAGATATTTATTAAATACCCAGTTTGTACAAAATGCAATATTAGGAGCTATGGCTCCAACAGTGAATAAGACTGAAACAATCTCTGTCTTTATGGAGCTTACATTCTAGCAAGGATGACAGATATTAAACAGCCAGTTACACAAGCTGATAATTGTAATTTTGGTAAATGCAGTGAAAGAATTACAGTGCTGTAAGAGCCCATGACAGGGAGACCTGGCATGATCTGTAGGCCATCAAGCTAGTCATAGAATTTCAGGGACATGTGGCTGAGGAACCTGGACCCAAAGAATCTAGTGTGCTCTGTCCTGTCTCTTGTCAAAGTTGCCATGAGGGGAGGTGCCTCTGTGTAATAGTTTCTCAACCTCAGCACTCTTGACATCTTGGGCTAGAAAATTCTTTGTTTGGGGGCACTTTCCAGTGCACCGTAGGAGATGTTTAGCACCATTCCTGTCCTTTACCCACCAAGCCAGTAGACCTCATATTTGTGACAATCGCAAATGTCTCAGCATTGCCAAATGTCCCTTGTGGAAGGGTTGGGGTGGGGGCAAAATCTGTCCCTCCTCCTCCCCTCAGTTGAGAACCACTGCTGTTCATGAAACTTGGTTTTTAAAAAATGTCTTGGGGGCTGGCCCCTTGGCATAGTGGTTAAGTTTGGTTCGCTCCACTCCAGTGGCCTAGGTTCGCAGGTTCAGATCCTGGGCATGGACCTACAGCACTCATCAGCCATGCTGTGGTGGTGACTCACATATAAAGTGGAGGAAGATTGGCACAGATGTTAATTCAGAGCTAATCTTTCTCAATGAAAAGAAAAAGTCTTATGATTTATCCAAGTCAATACCAGGAACTTAATTTATGCATTCACTGAACAAATATTTAGACAAAATTCAAATATTTGTTGAGTGATTATTAGGTGCTAGGCATGGTTTTAGGCACTGGAGACCCAGAAGCAGTGATCAAAGTCTGTGCTTTCTTGAAGCTACGTTCCAGTGGGGAGAGCTGGCCAGTAAATTTAAAAATATGTAATATTTCAGAAGAAAGGGATACGTTTGTCATAGAAGTCCTTTCTGATAAGATGACATTTGAACAAAGTCTTGAAAGAAGCACGGGAATGAGCCACATGAGAGGGAACACTGAGAGCAAGAGGCAGAGCGATCGGAGGGCCTGTACTTGACCTCACCTTTCTGTCTGCAGGTCTAACCAGGCTGCTTGTGTTTCAGGGGCTCCTCCACAGAAGGGCAGCTGAACGGCCTCCAGAGCAGCCTTCACGCTGCAGCCTTTGTGCCCATCACCAGCTCCACAGGTTAGTGGCAGTGGCGCACCAGCTCCTTCGAGGCAGGCCAGCAGGGAGGGGCTGGGCTCGGCACAGTCTCTCTTCTGCCTCTGAAGAGAGCTCCAGTTTGAAGAAGGAGGCGTCCAGGCTGTTGAAGCATCGGCACAGGGGCATTCTGTTACATTCTTCTTTTCAATGGTGTTGACAGTTTAGGACTGAATGGTTTTCTAGAACTAGTTTGGGATAGATGACATTTCCCAGTCTGGTAGAAGGCTATCAGATTTGCAGCATATTACTAAAAATGCCTGTATTTGACTGGTGTTTCACTGTTTGTGTAGCATTTCCACGTGTAGGATCTCTCACTAAACCCTGTGAGGTGGATCTTCTTGTCCCCCCACGAGAGGACACAGAGGCTGAGAAAGCTGAGGGGCCTATGGGAGGTTATACGTGGGCGCAGAGCTAGATCTGGGTTGGGTCATGGTCCTGTTGTGGTCTGTTGCCAGTTGGTTCCTGAGGGCCTAAAACCTCTCAGGGTAGGTACCTACATCTAAGTCAGGAAACATTGTCCACAGATAGTTTTCTGAGTAATAATTCATAAAAATACACTAATCAGTAATCAGAGAATTGAAAGAAAATCACTTGGATTCAATTCAACAAGTGTTTATTATTGAGCGCCTACTGTGGAGAAAGTGACATGCTGGGCGCTGAGGTACCTAGAGGGTGAACTAGGCAGTCCCTCCGTCAGGGAATTACAGACTCAGAGAAGGGGGGAGTCAGCAGGGAGTGTGGGCAAGGTGAGGGAATATCAGGTCCTGGGGACACAGAGTAACAGTCAACAGCACTGGGGACATCTGCTATGCGTCAGGCACAGTTCTGAATGCTTCATATGTAGTAACTCACTTGTTCACAAAACAGGCATATAGTATAGGAACTGTGTTCCCAATTTTATGGCTGAAGAAATAAAGGCACAGACAGATAATGAAACATATCTAAAATCTCACAGCAAATCAATGGTAGGGCAGTATTCGAACCCAAGCCATCTAGCCCAGGCTCCTTAGGGACTGGGGAGGGCTTCCCAGAGGAAGAAACATCTAAGCTGAGGTTTGAATGTTGACAAGTCAGCCAGGAGAGGGGAAGCATGGGGTGGAAGGAGATCCAGGAAGAGGGAACAGTGTGTGCAAAGGCTGAGGGTGGGGGAGAAAACGTGCCGTGTTCTGAGAGCCCTCACGTGTCAGTGTGGCTGGGGACTAGGGCCTGAGCAGGGAGTGCCAGGAGAAGAGGCTGGAGGGGTCGCAGGACCAGTCTATGAGCCGTGTAGGGAACTTGTCCTAGAGCAGTAGGAGCCATTAAGGAGTGTAAGGCCCCGGAGTGTGTATGTGGCGGAAGGACGAACATAATCCACCTTAAAATGGTTAGAAGATCACTGAGAGCCCTTAGTTTGACCTTTTCGTGGGGGTCATTACATACTTCTCAGAGTTTCCTGTGGGGATGAAAGGAGGCAATAGAGAGAAGGAGTCTGTAACCACACCCAGGGCTGCTAGTAATGTGATTGGAGTGTAAAGACTTTTTTCTCCGCTTAAAATCTTAGAACCTGAATTCAAGAAATATTTGATGAGTATCTACTTGCCCCTCCCACCCCCCAAAAGAGAATTCCTAGAACATGGTAGTTATTTTTAAGGAAGTAAGATTTCCCCCTGGAGCAGTAACGGACTGAGACTGGGTAGCTAAGAGAGTCCTGGACTAGCTCGAAGGATTTCCGTGGGCTCCAGCTGGTAGAACCTTTCAGCTCTTCAAATTTGCTGGATCTGTGGAGCTTCACAAAGCTTAGGAGATCCAGGAGTCCTGCCTGTTTCCTTTCCATGTCTAACTGGTCACTTAACTACAGAATTGAACTCTTTGTGTGCACTCTGGCTGAGGAAGTTGGAAATTTGAGAGGCCAGGTGGGTCATACTTTTGGCATCTTAATTATGCGTTAATACTTACTGACCAAGTTACTTAGAAGATTTTGTAACAGTTGCAGTGAATTTGGTATCAGCATAAAACCACAGAATAGAGAGAAGTTGTACTTCTCCATGGCTTCTTATAGCTACCTTTTTTCCCTGCTTCTACCTTAAGATAAGCACATTGTTCTCACCTTGTTTGGGCAGCCTGCTGTTTACTGCTTTTGTCTCCAAATGACCCTGGGCTTCTAAAGTCCCTTGAATTCATTTCTACTTGGTGACTTTCCTCATGTTCCTGATCCTTGGTTAAGGAAACACTGATGAACATGATAGTAGAGCTCAGGCATTTTCCGTATTCCCAGTAAGCATTTTACCTTAGCAGTGCAATAGTCACCAGCCCTGTTGGAGTTGTTTACACAGCTAGTCAATAACTGCCTGCACTTCAGTGTTTCAACTACAAATCGTGTGTTTTTCTGTATTACACACAGATTTGAAGGAGTTATCCTAGGGATTCAGAAGGGTGTCCTATGAATAGGAGAAGATGAGATCGCTATTAGAAACGTTTTTCTTTAAACCCACAAGAAGGGAGAACAACCTCCATAATTAGTCAAAAAGCTTACACATCTCTCAGAGTTGGAATGTTTGTGCCTATAGAGGAATCGCTAAACTGACTTTGAAGGGTATTTAGACCGTCTGCTCCATTTAACTCAATTGGTTAAACATGGTATCTATTGAGTCCGTGGATAGGCAGAAGTCTCTTTCCTGGCCCCTTGACCCTTTCCCCTAGTCGAGCCAGCCAGGCCGTAAAGCTTGTGACTTCGCTCATCAGGCAGTCTGAAGGAGAGAGCGGCTCATCCCAGGGCATTGTTGAAGACAGCTCAGTCCCTTCCCGCTGATGGTGGCCTCCTGACATTCCTTTTATTATCATCTTTAAATGAGGTAGTGAATGTGAAAGCTCCCAGCAGAGTGCCTGGGATGCTCCGTGCATATTGCTTTTCCTTGACTTCCCTACCTCAGCTACATATTCTGAGTTTGCTATGAAAGGGAAGATGTAGAGTCAGCAAATTTGGAAATTTGAGAAGGAAGCTGGAGTGAGGGCCTTTGGCTCAAAGCCAGAGCCATTGCCTTCCTCCTTTATAGCGATGGCATTCTTCTTGAGTTCTGAAGGGGTGATGGGGAACTAAAATAGCCGAGAGCAGCGGATTAGATAACTGGCATTTCTCTCATGCTCATTTGATAGTGTAAACTACCATTATTGTGGGCCTGAGCCATACCAGCTGCCCTCGTGCCCGTGCCTTAGCTTCTGCCTAAGCTTTCCTTTCCTGGAGCCCAGCCTCTACCCACCCCCACCTAACTTTTTTGTTATTTTTCTTTTAGCTCTTACTGGTCTATAGTTGATGGAAGGGACCTTCCCAGCTTTTGAGCACCAAAGCTGGATTTCATTTCCAAGAAGTGAGAAGCAATCTCCTTGTTGAACACTTGTTATGTGGAGCCCTGGTAAAAGCACCTGAGCTCTACGCTCTTTGATGGAGGTGGGGTGGCTGCACACCAGCGTGCCTGCCCGCCTCGTTGTCTCTCAGTGGGACAGTAAGAGGAATGAACTTATGCTAATATAAAGCAAACCCGGTGGAGCTTAGACCCTAAGGATCTAGGAGGCACTTGAACTTTCAAGTGAAATTATTTGCCTGGCAGCTCTCAGCAGAATGACGTCTTCTCACTATTAGTGTTTGTTCTTTTCCCAATGCGTTATATAGGTGTTGGAGATCCTGGGTGGATCTGGAGTACAATATATTAATAATAAAAATAAATCAAGCTCTTAAGATGCTTGCCCCAGTGTCTTATACCCTTTATTGCTCCCAAAATGTTCTTCTCTCCCCAGAGCCAGAGGGATAAGAATTTAGGTTCATTACCCATTCTTATACTTAGAAAGCAGAAAAGAGAGCATGGTTTGGTGTTTGGCAGAAAATGGGGTGTCAGCATCTGGGAGAACAGTGATCCCCTAAAACCTAGTTTTAGATTTGCCTTGTTGTCCTTCCAGCCAAGATCAAATAAAGTGTTAAGTAGGGATTTTATTTTACATTTTTCAGGATCTTTGGAACCTCCCCAAGTTATTTTCGCCAGATCCAAACCCTTGCCCACACAATCTGGAGCCCTTGCTATAGGACAGAGAAAATCAAAGTCGGTGAAGTCAGGGCCAATTTAAGGTAACAGTAAGAATAAGAGCATATTCTTGTATTGTAACTTGCTGACTTGATGCTACAGCAAGAGCCTTTACAGCTATCAGGAGAAATGATAGTTTCTCAAAATGACAGGATATTGGCATTTTATAAAACCAGAGCTCAGAAGGACTCTCCAAAACTGTGGGTCAAAGTTAAGCTACCAATAGCTTGCTTCTGTAATGGCCTACCAGTAGGTGGCGCTGTGGCAGTAAGAAATTTTCTTGCTATTATGGAGGCTATTGTTTAAAAATATGGGGAAATGGATGCCAAAGAAACTAAAGCTGTAATTGAATTATCACAGGTAAAGTGTAAAAGAATATATTGGAAAGCATGATATTTGAAGGTCAAATTGCAATGGCCTCTAAAGAGAATGAATATTTATTATTAAAGATATTTATTGTTAAAGAAGGCTTTTAGACTAGAGTTGGGTAGTCTGTGAATTGGACTTTCAGATAATGGGAGGCAAGAAGGGAACAACATTTAAAAAAACTTTTGGTGAGGTTGATTAGTTAATTATGCTTTTTTCTGAGGTTTTTAAGATAAACGTGCTATAATTGGCAGCAAAACAAACTATAAACCCTATCCTACCATCCATCCAAAAAAAGCTCCTACACTGAATGAATGGCCTCACTTGATCTTGTGAGGCTGTACCCGCACTTCACCAGCGCTGCCCCCAATATTTTGTTCCCAGCTGTGTGGCCTTCCAAACTTTCCAGAAAATTCTATGAAACTGCAAGGTTTTGATGATTCCTTTCCTCTTTGCTTTACTCTATGCGCTAAAGCATTAATGGCACACCTGCTATGAGCTTAATACTCTTCTTACCTCTAGGGGAATATTTATAAACTTACTTGAGAAGCATTATTCATCAAAATACCCCAGGAGAGCAAAGGAGGGAGAAAAATTATTTACCCACCACAGGATTCATTTACATTGGATCAGAAGCTTCAAATATCTTTCCCCAGCCCATCTAAACTCTTTCCAAAAAGGAATGAGAAGAGAGAAGGGAACACCAAATCCATGGCTTGGTCATCTACCAAAATGTACCAGAGAAACTGAAAACAACCAGAGTTCTATTGGTAACACTTAGCCAATGGTCCTTTAATTCTGATACTAAGCAGCCTATTCAGTGATGAACAACTAACAAAATATAGAAAACTAAAGCAAGAAGGTCAATATTTCCTTCAGGAGACTGGCAACCAGAAGAATGAATGTGACATCAAGCTCCAAACCAAACGGATGGCCTGCCAAGAAGTACTAATGTCCATCCGTTTCCAGCACTGTGAGACTTGGACCTGCCACCGTTGTAATATCACTCTCCTTGAACCTGTTTCATTAGTATCCCTTACAGTCCACCCATTACATGGCAAAATAGGATCATCAGCAAAGAAGCTTTGAGAAAGAGCCTATCTCTCAACACTTAAATCTCTGTCACAAACACAGCCCCGCTGAGCCTGAGCTCTACAGAAGCTAGGGATGGGTAATGCTGTATTTGTGATTAGTTGAGGTGGTGAGACCACGTGCAAGTGTGTATGGACTCAGACGACAGAGCAGGTCAGAAGGCCTCGGAAGTCCAGCCTCGCATTGTAGCATGAGTGCTGGGAGGCTCCAGAGGCAGGCCCACCAGCCTGGCAGATGGCAGTGGGCTGCCTTTCCTTGAGCAGGAGAATTAGGTAGCTTACAAAGTGAGGAGGCAGACCCCCGGAGTCCACAGCTCATCCACCTGGATGCATGCTTTCTTCATGTTGTGAACGCAGTGTAGACCGAACCACTGCTTGGGCAGAGGTCCCTTCAACCACAGTCACAAGTGAATGTCATCACCAGCTATAACAGTCCTAGAACCTCTTCATATATGGATTTAGGGAGGTAGTGAGGTTAGATTAGAGGATTTGAAGTGTGTTTGCATAGCATGTTATGTAAGACTGAGAAAACATCAGTTGTCCTTATCAAAGAAGGAGGGACCTATCCTGAAGGATACTGGGGACTAAAGACTAAGACCTGCAATAGGCTGCCCCAGGCAAGTCTCGTTTTTAAATATATACATCATTCTGTACCTTTTTAGATTCTGTATTGTGTATTTGGCATCTATCCATCACAAAGCCAATTAACTATATTTTCTGTATTCTTGATGCTTTGGCAATTGGGGGCCTTCCAGAGCCAGGGAGAGAATGGCCCTCCCAGGCTAGCTAATTCCTAAAGATAATAACCTCTTGCCTTTCATATACAAACCAACCAATCCCAAGTTTATATCCCCAACCACCTCCTTATCTAACTCTCACACAGCAAGCCAGAATTTCCCTTTCTCTAAACCACTCCAGGGCCAGGGACCAGGTGACTAGAGACCACCCCTGTAGCCTTTAGGCCCCAGAATTATGCACACTAGCCACTTTTAAGCTGTTTACCCTGTCCAGCCTTGCCTTTCCCAAGGAAACTCCAAATAAGGCTCTGGCCTTGACTTTCCTCTCTCCCCTGTCTTCTATCTCCTGACCACTCTGGTGTTTTCGCTTGTGACCCTGCGTGGCCTGCAGTGACCCCCCTCTGAGACCTGTAAGTATAATCAACTTCTTCCTGCCAAGCCTCATGTTCATCCTTTCCTGTGGCTGCACTGATACCGTACCTTACCCATCATGTACATTCCTAGAACAAACATCAATAGGAAGAATATCTTTAATTTGCAGTACAAGGAACCTGGAGAAAAATCTGAATCGATTAGGTTTATATCACCCAGTTCTAAGCAACTGATCATAGCGTTTACTTCGTTGTAGGCTGTATTACCCAAGTGATGTTTTAACAGTATGTGTTTTGCTAGCCTCAATCTGGCTGCAGCCACACAAGAAGGATGTGGATCCCTCTACATGGCAAAGTTGCCTGGCTGCCAGCCATTGAAATTTCATGCTTTCCTGTCCTGAGGCCTCTTTCATTTCGTTTAGTAACTGTTTCTACTTCAGAAACAAAACTCAAGCATAGCTGAACAACCTGGTTGGAAGTGGGGGAGGAACCAGCCTGGCTTTCAGTTTCGAGGGACGTGGAGGGGTGGTTCTAAGAACCCACCCCAAGGGGGTTCCTTTGTCTTAAAGAAAACCAGGGAACTCTATTTCTGAAGTGGATTAAGAAATGGACTACTGAGAAAGATAACATCTGAAAATTGATATTATCTCTTGCTGAGCTGGCAAACTCCCAAAAGAGGAGTGATGATGCTTCCCTTGTTAACAATTGCTACTTTGTTATAAGAGACAGGGAGGTGCAGTGGCCCCTTTCTCAAGTTACATTTATGTTACGGAAGCACACACACCTCCTGGAAAAAATGCCTGGCACCCTGGATGGTTAAAAGATGTACCTACCACTGCATCTTGTAGCAGATTTGTGCTGTCCTGTGTAATATCCATTCACTTGGGATGGGAAAAGATCCTGTTTATTTTTGTAGTCCTGACCTGGGCAAGTAACTAGAATAACATTGCCTTACTTTGTGAGTCTTCATACTTATCACTGAAAGTTATAAATCTGTACGCTATAGTTATCCGTCCTATGGACCCACACATCTTGCTGCTTGTTTCAATCAGATGCTTGCTATAGGCACATACCTTTGCTCTGCCATTCTTATATCCTCAGGACATAATTGCTCCTAAAAGTTCTAAACAAAGAAAACAGCATGCTAAGCCATGCCTGTCTTTGGAAAAAGCAAGCTTTGCCCATGGAAATATTTACAACTCTGCTTGCCTGATCTGTAGAATTGGAACTGGGCTCCAAAGAGTGCAGGGTATGGAGGACAATGACTTGAAGTATATTGCCCTGTTGGCGTGATTGGCGTTGATATTTATCCTCTATTCTTTCAAATATGATTATAAAGGAGAAGACTCAGCTTCTCTGAAGTCTTCAGACTGAAGAATATCACTAGTAAAAATAAAACAAGTCTCTCATACTTTTTTGTCCTCATCTTTCAAACGTGCAAGTATTTCCATTTAGCTCCCTAGGTATCAAGGGGCTCTCTTCTCTTGAAACCTAAATCCAGCTTCACTAGTTATCTGACACCAGAGAAGACAGCTTGAGTGTGTTCAGTGTCCCTTTAGCTACATCAGTAAAATAGAGCATATATCCCTGTATAAAATGGGATGTGAGGTGAAGAAAAAAGTCAGCTGATTAGAAGTTGCTAGGCTAGCGTTATGTATTTGTTTGTTCTTAGGTAAAAGAATCACTCCCTTTTATATCTGTTGGACTGAAAGTGACTTTCAGGTTTTTTTCCCCTCTCCATTCACTTCTAATTTGCTTCCCAGGGAAATTAAGACATGTGACAAGCCCAAATGAAGATATTTTGAAATTTGACAAGAGGTTGTTATTTTTAACTTATTATGGCTGAGCTGCAAAATGTATTAGGTAATGAATTGTTCATAGTTATTAATCAGATTTTGGAATATGGAATTTTAAAAACTGCAGCTCTTTTTTGGGAGTCTGCGTCCTCTCAGGCCTTCTCTGTTATATTCTTTTATCCTTTCTACTGTTCCCCAGTATAAATCACCATGGTGTGTGTGTGCATATGCTCACCCTCCTCTTTTTATGCAGAGAATTTGATTATCTACAATAGCCTTTTGGTCATCAAGAAGAGAGACACCCTCAGTCTACCCCTGTTAAGAAAAGTTATACATAAACACAGGGAAGAAACAGTCTCAAGACCAGACCTCATGAAAACGTGCAACATTATTTGGGATAATTAGCAGGTCTGGGGGCTAAACAGCAAGTCGGTTAATCCATCCCTGTGGCCAGGTCGTCTGTTGTCTCCTCAGCAGCTGGCTTCCATTGTCCTCCAGGTTAACCGCTCTGCGTGCTGATGACTCAGCCTCCTCTCTGGGTGGGTGTTTCTTCCTCCACTGTTTGCCTTCAGCTTTCAAAAGACAGACTCAGAATGCTCTGCATTCATTCATGCAGCAAAGTGCCACTGGTGTGCAGAGCTAAAGGTAGGCGGCTGCTGCCTTCCAGGCAGATGCCAGCCTGC